TTATAATGTAGATAGCAACATTACATAACATAGGAACACTACTCTACATTATAACAAACACTACTCTACATTACATAGGTTACTCTACATTATAAACACTACTCTACATTATAGCATAGCAACATTACTCTACATTATAGCATAGCAACATTACTCTACATTATAACATAGGAACACAACTCCACATTATAACATAGCAACATTACTCTACATTATAGCATAGCAACATTACTCTACATTATAGCATAGCAACATTACTCTACATTATAACATAGGAACACAACTCCACATTATAGCATAGCAACACTACCCTATATTATAACATAGGAACACTACTCTACATTATAGCATAGCAACATTACTCTACATTATAGCATAGCAACACTATTCCACATTATAACATAGGAACACAACTCCACATTATAACATAGGAACACTACTCTACATTATAACATAGCAACAAATGTAGAGTAATTAGCATAGCAACTAATGAACACAACTCCACCTATGTTATAATGTAGAGTAATCTATGTTATTATGTAGAGTAATGTTGCTATGCTATAATGTAGAGTAGTGTTGCTATGCTATAATGTAGATTAGTGTTTCTATGTTATTATGTAAAGTAATGTTGCTATGCTATAATGTAGAGTAGTGTTGCTATGTTATAATGTTTCCCTCTAGTTTATCACCGTTAAATTAGGGATGACTGGCTCGGTTATCCCTCGTGTAGCTTTACTCGAAATCAACAACAAGTTAAATTAGTGTCTCAATCTGTTAAATCACGAAAATAAAATGCAAACATACAAAAGCAGAAGTTTTCAAAGAGCAATTAAGAAAAAGATTTAAAACGCATAATGAAAAAGATATGGATACATACTTTTTAACACAGTTAATGAGTACATTAAAGAAAATAAACATATCTAAACACCAAGTTTCCCAGCTGTTTCAATTCATTTCCATAATTCACAAGTAAGTAATAAGGATCATGCAACTAAAGAAATAAAAGTAATTACATCTATAAAATATACAAAAAATACATCTCCAGGTGAGGATGGGATACAAGCATTTCTTCTCAAAAAGGTTACTCATAAATTGTTTAACCATCTAACTGCATTATTCAATTTATCCCTAAACTCAGGTTATATCCCGGACTCTTGGAAACAAGCAAATGTTTCTAAAGGAAGGCAAATCAGCGAATATACCGTCAAGATAGCAACCAATTAGTCTGAAGAGTTGTATAGGCAAAATTTAAGAAAGAATAATTAGTAATAGGCTTTCCACTTTTCTAGAGATATTATCAAAGTACCCGAAGTTCAAAACTGTTCCAGAAAATTTCGACAAACAACTGATCATTTAGTAAGATTAACTGAAACCATAATAGATAGCTTTAATCATAAGAAATACACTGTCGCTTGCTTTCTCGATACAGAGAAACCATTCGACTCTGTATGGCATAATGGCTTAAGATACAAAATGAAACAAGTGGATTTCCCGACAGGTGTTATTCGCTGGTTGTCTAACTTTTTAGATAATAGAAAATGTCTAGTGAACGTGAAGGGCACCTACCTGGAATATTTTACTCCCGAGGCAGGTGTTCCCCAGAGCCCTATTTTTTTCATCATGTATGTAAGCGACATGCCATTAGAAGATCCAAATTTTAGCCTAACCTCACGATTTGCAGACGATATGGAAGAGTTCCACGACCCCTTCGATTGCAGCTACAAACTTTCAAGAAGTTCTAAGTCAAAACGTCGAGTACTGTCCAAAACACAGAATAAAAATAAAAGTTCCAAAAACTAACCTAATTCTATTTTCAAAGTCAACAAAAACGCTTAGAAACCCTCTAGAAATATAACTGCACGGAACTCTTTTACATGTCGTCACTTCAGCAAAATATCTTGGAGTAACGTATGATTCAAAATTAACTTGGAAACCTCATATCAATCAAATCAGAAACAAAATATGGCAACGAGTAAACTATATCAAGGAATTGACTAGTAAAAACACACGAGCCACACCAGAAAACATCATTAAAGTTTATAAACAATACGTACGACTTGTAGTAGAATACGCTTGTTCTGCTTGGACTAATGTAGCATCAACACATATAAAGAAATTACAGACCATATGAAATGCAGTAATCACCACAGCTTTCAGAGTACCCAGACCAACAAACCAAATATTCATGCATAAATACGTAAATATAAAACCAATCCACGACATAGTCATAGATTGCTCGTTAAAATATTTTGATAAAAAATTATATAAAAACGATTCACTAACCTCAATAGATCGCGATATCATACATGATGATGATATTGATAGTCCTAAGTATCTGTCTCCACTCAATTTTTACTACAGAAAAGTCCATTTGCACTAGACCATAATATATCGCTTAGAATTAGGTATCACATGTGTATTTAAGAGGTATTATATGTGAATTAAACGTCTGGTAACTACTTCAAGTGAAAAAAGTGACTTTTGCTATGGAACTGTTTGTGAGTGTAAACGACTAAATACCTATTCACACAGACTTTTAAATCTACGTCAGAGCCATCTTATTGGCTTCACGAGATTTACCTTCTATACAGTTAGAAAACAAGAAAACAGTTTTATTCCCAACATGCATCATGTTAATAAATTTCTGCTAATTAAAAACAAAGGACGTAGTGTAATTTGTAGTGTCTTGGTCATTTTTGATATTTTATAGATATTATTTTCATGGCAATGCATCACGACCTGTCCGTGACTGACGTAATAATTGTCCCCCCGTTGGCTAGGCGGTAAATCTTATAACTTACAATGGTAAAGGGCACAGCGGTATGTCTGCAGACTTACAACGCTAGAAACCGGGTTTCGATATCCGCAGTGGGCAGAGCACAAATAGCCCATTGTGTAGCTTTGCGTTTAATAACGAACAAACAGACTGCGTAATTAGTACATTAAATTATACGTAATGGAATTAACCAGTAATTTTGTACAGCTGATGGACATGAATTTTCTTATTTTCACACATGTGTATAGTTGCCAATATTTTCAAGTAAGCACTTTTATCATAAACCAAACATCAATCTCATCAAAGCTCAGGGAGTTCCGTTTTAAAGTTATATTTCTATAACAAACTAAACGTGTTCGCTCCCCTTAGATATCCAGTTTGTCATTCCCTAGCCCACTATGATCTTAACGGTCTTGTGTTTGGTACTCTGTCACTCCCACCCCCACACTGATCACTGGGATAATGGTTGTTAGGATTGCCCATTCCTTTGCTGAATTATTCAGAAACATAATACACAATTCGCTAACATTAATACAGCTTCTGATAGGACTAACATAATCCACAATTCGCTAACATTAATACAGCTTTTGATAGGACTAACATAAAGAAACAGTTAGTAAAACAATCTGACGCATAAACAAGTAGAAACAATTTTCTACAACGTTGATATTCGAATAGCCCCTAATCATCACCGAGTGAAGAATCACAATGCTCCGTTAAGAGTATTTTAGAACACCAAAGAAACAGATCGACTTACTGGAAGGGAAAGCCTGTTTTTTTTATGAGTGAAGAGTGAAAGTTTGTTTGTTTGCTTGGAGTTAAGTACAATGGGCTATCTGTGCTTTGCCCACCACAGGTATCGAAATCCAGTTTCTAGCGTTGTAAGTCCGCAGATATACCGCTGTGCCACTGGGGGGGCGAAGAGTGAAAGACATAAAAGCTTGGGTTAACCTACAAATACGAATTTTTATATGCTGATTTTACTTCACTATACCTTTAAATCTTACTTTCAATTTTACTTCTACATTATTTTAACTCATAAATCTTTCCTTAGTTCTATAGTACATACTATATATATATAAGTCCGTTCTTTCCTAACCTCCTATCCTGACTTATTGTTACTTACGGTAGCGAGCTACTATTTGTTTATTAAGACACTTCTTACCCTCAACACCAACGTCAAATATTTTTATCCTTCCGCCAACATTGAGTCCAGCTTTAATGTGTGTCTTCTCTCGATTATTTTTGAAGACAAATCGAAGAGATGCTATTAAATCTCCGCCATACGTAACGCTTCTAACGTAGTGTGTTCCTAAAAAGTCTTTGCTGTTTCCCTTCCAATCATCCTTAGGTTTCGCATCAGGCGGAAGAATCATGGTAACCTGTATCCAATGACCCAGTAATTTAGAAATTGGTGAATTGCAAATACAGGCTTAGGATATTGTATAACAAGTGACAAAACTCAATCACACGTGAGGATAGTACTGTTGCGTCATCGAGGTCACGTGACTGGTGTGGCGCCACCTATTTTCTAGAACTATCCTGTACCTTGGCGAATGCTCTAGTATTTACTAGATA